ATCATTTCGTGACCCTATGCTTTATGGAATCCTGAAAACTACCTTTGGCAATATCCGTCCTTCTTAAGTTTTAGAAGGCTGTGATGCATTTCCTAGAGGTTTTTTTTTTTTCCTATAGAATGCTTTTCAGCCTGTTTTATTGGTAGCAAGAACTGAGGTAAGTGATAACTATAAATTCATTTTTGAATACAAAGCAAGCTTCAGACTTATTCAGTAACAAGAGAACATTTATGCCCAATTTTTTTATCTTGCTATTTTAGTTTGATACACTCTTTCTTTAACTACTTGTATTTTTAAAAGCAAATACATAGTGTATATAATTAATATGAATTCTAATTAGGTACTTACTTTTCATCTTAGGTCTTTTTAAAAAAATTTTATTTAAAGACAGACTAAAAACAGAAAATGAGTAGCAATAATACATACATTCAGAGAAAAAATAAACAGTAAGCACTAATGTTTACATACTGTCCTTTTACAAAAGATTGTTCAAGATACAAAAGTGGAACATATAAAGTGGGAATTCAGACAGTGAGACTGCAACCAGTTCTGTTCAACTGTCCAACAAAAATTTAGAAATATGGTTGTAAATCTTATACACTTAAACACACATGCAGTTATCCATATCTTCATTTATGTTGGGATTAAACTAAAGAAGGCTAATATCACTCTGAACAAAGAATAATGCTATTGCTGGGTGTCACATTATGACACTCCAGGATCAGCACTGGGTGCTTTAGTGTCTCTTTTTCTTCAAAGTATTATGTGTCATGAGATCAGTTCTCATAAACTTTATAGATTCTACACATGCATGAGTCTTAACATGTATTTTTATCCTTTCTATATTAGAGGGAGAAACAACACAAAGCAAGACAAAACAAAACATTCCTATAAACACATGAAATGAAAAAGAGACATGTAAGACCGGTGTACAAGGGATTCTACCATAGTTCCTGTGTTGTCTCTTGTTATCGTCAATAGAATTGGTTATATCATCAGAGTTATGTTATGTACTGATATAGTATAATTGAGTATATCAGTACATAACAGTACTAATAAAAACAGAACTTTGTATATAGTATAAAACTTCAAAAGTAGGCAGTTATCAAACCAGAATGTGTATTGTAGAGTCTTGTCGTCTTCAGTGTAGTTGCCTATACTCTCAGACTTGATACTATCAATCATATCAGGTTTGAATAAAATCTGTCCATACCAAACAGCAGTCAAACAAACCAGATTTAACTAACATCAATCATGATATAACAGTATAAGTCATACAGGGCTCCCGATTAAGATAATAGGAAATTAAAAATGATTACTATGCCATATCCTGATGTTTTGGAGATAGCTGTCTGTGCCCTCAAATCTAATGCAAGTAGACAAACTGAGACCAAATAAAATCTATCAAAAAAAAAAAGGAATAACATCTAACTAAGCAGAGTGGTGCAAGTAATGTAGGTTTTAAATCCTGATACACTGTTAACAATATCTTCTGCCATCTTTTTTAAGACTCTCCCTCTCCTTTTACTTCCCTAGGGTACACTGTGTATTTTGGGGTCTGACCAAAACCCTTGGTTATAAATGTGGTCAGGGGGCAACCTATTTACCTAAGTGGTTCCAATCCAAACCTTCTCTCTCCTGGACTTGGTCTCTAGTTGTATGCCTTTACCTTTTTTTTTTTTTTTCTTTTTTTTTTTTTTTTTTTTTGGTGCCAGGGATTGAACTCATGACTGCCTGCTTGAAGGCAGGCACTTATTCTGCTGAGCTAAATCCCCAGCCCTATTCCTTTACCTATTAAAGCCTGTCTTTCCAACCTATCCACATATACTGGTCTAGTTGCCCCTATTTCTCTGTAGTTCCTGTCACATAGATCATTGTTTTCTTATATTTGATTTTCAGTCCATGTACTCTTTTTTCATGTTAATTATATTTCCTAAAAATAGCATCTCGGTGGACCCTACCTCCTGATCTACTCCACATGTGGTTCTTTTTTTTTTAATTTAGTGTATCAAGGCCATCTATATTAGAGATTATAACCAAATTTCTCTGCCTCATTTCTGTTATGCTCTTTTTTTTTTTTTTTTTTTTTTTTTTTGCTATCAGTTGTCTGCTTAACTTCTTCATTTTGTTTTCTTTTCTGTTCATTGAGGCTTCTATGCCACTGTTCTTGGAATCCTAGTACTTTTCTCTCTGTCTAGAATGCCCTGCAGTATTCTCTGTAGAGTTGGATTGGTGATTGAGAATTTCCCAAGTGCCTCTTTGTCTTGGAAGCATCTTGTTTCTCCATTAATTTCTAGAGACAGTTTAGCAGGGTATATCAGTCTGGGATGCAGGTTATTTTCTTTCAGGGCTTGGAATATTTCTCTCTAAGCTCTTCTTGACTTAATGGTTTGTGTCGAGAAGTCTGCCGTTATTCTGATGGGCCGTCCTTTATAGGTTATCTGTTTCTTGTCTCTTAACAGCTTTTAATATTTTGTTCTTATTTTGAATTTCTGGGATCTTGATTATTATATGCCTGGGTATAGCTCTGTTTTGGTTGTAGGTGGCTGGAGTTCTGTATGCCTCATACATCAAAGTATCATTTCCTTTTTCTATGTTTGGGAAGTTTTCCTTAATTATTTCTGTGACTAACCTTTGTATTTCCTGTGTTTGTACCCCTGCTTCTTCATTCACATTCTTTATTCTCAAGTTGTAGATCCTCTTGTCATCTTCTAGCCTTTGTATTGTTACTGCTTGTTTCCTTGTTATTTTTAAAAAAAATTTTCCTTTCATAATCCCACATTGCAAAACTGTCCTTCAGTTTGCTATCCTTAGTTTCTTTCAAGCAGATTTGCCATCTTGCCATAGAGTTTTTAATTTCCTGTTAATCTCTTTGAATCTGCTTCATGTATTCTATATTTTGTTTATATTCTTCATGAAATGGTTCTCTCCTTTGAGTTCCTCCCTTCATCTGTCTGTGTCTGCCTGAGAGGTGCTTAGCATCTCTTTTATTAATCTTCTTATGTCTTACTTTACTTGGCTAAATATTTCACTTTTGAACTCATCTATGAGGTCCCGTATATATCTGCTTATGTCCACTGGTGCCATGTCTGATATTGCTTGTTTGCTGTTCTCATTGTCCTTTGTATTTACCTGTCCTGGGTCATTGTTCTCAGGGTTGGGACCTGGGGACTTTTTGTTGTTGCTTCCTCTTCCATCTTTTTGCTTCTTCCAGGAGGCCCCAGTTTCTTTCTTTGTAGGTTACAATTCTTCTGAAGCACGCTGGCTAGGTGACCCTTCCCACTGCAGTGTGCTAGTGAGTTGCAGACAGGGGCAGCGTATGTTGGCTCCTTCCCTCAAGATCAGTCAAGCTGCTGAGGCCAGCAGTATATTACTATGCACTGCCTCACTCCCAGTCAGTCAAACTTCAGAGGCTTCACTGCGTTAGTGTGCGCTGCCACGCCAGAGAATTGATTTCGGATAACCTGTTGGGTCTCAGCCAGGTCACGTGACCCAGACCATGCTCACTCCACCAATCCCTTTCAGGAAGGGAACAGTGGACTGATGTCACTGCTGCCCCTTGTATTTGCCCATCTTTCCCAGTCCCCGAATGTTGTCTGCCAGAGCCCCCCTTCATGTGGAATGGCTCCACTCCCATCACTCACCACAGGTCAATGCAGGCTCCCCACCAGCTCAACTATCTGGCTGGCAGACCCCCAACCTCAGTGTGACTGCGCCTCCAGTGAGTCGAAGTGGCGGGATATCAGACAGCTTGGCAAGTTGCCTGCTGCAGCAGGAGTGCTGATCCTTTAGCTGTTCCAATAATAGCACCAGCACTGTATGTTTGATTGGTTATTCTCACCTTAGTTTCTTCTTGGGATGAGAGAATTCATCTCGCTCTATTTGGGGCTCCCCATGCTGTATTATGTTGAATTCTAAGTTGACTATCTCATATTAGGTCTTAACGATTAAAAATAATGTCTGTTCATCTCCCACCATGGGTGTTAGGAGTTATGAACATTTTAAAAAAAGATCATTGCAAGTAGTAGAAAGTATTGCACAAATGACAGATGATCTTTCCTTCAGAGCGGTGAGTTTAGCTAGATGTTATACTAAGATGTAAGTCATACAGTATCCTTGTGCATGGCCGCCTAGCACACCTGCTCTGTCAGTGGCCTATGTTGGGCTGGTGGAGGTCATAGTGGTCAGGATGTCAGCCTGCCTGAGGCAGGGCTTGGACAGTGTCACTCACCAGAGACCAGAGGAGGTGGGGTGGCAGTTTGTGGTAAGTGTCCAGAGGAATCCAGTTTGGAGATTTATAAGCAAAGAATGTTGGTTCGTGGCCCAGAACCCAACCTTGAAATGTTCGTGGGACCCAGTTGGCAGATAACCAGCTTGAATTCAGGAAAGTACTTAACCATGGTGGTTCTGCATTTTTCTCACTTAGCTAGAACTCTGGTTTTGAAAACAGCAATTTCCTCTAAATCTTAGTTGTGTTTGGTTGCATCATACTTTCCAGATTTGAGGTGCAAGTGTGGGGAACATAATCAGTAATCATTGTAGGTATGTCCAAAGCTTTGTGCTGGAAATGATTTCCTGCAGAAACACAAGCCCCAAGGCTGAAGTCCTTGCTACCTGTGATGCAGCATTGCCTCTGTGAGAAGTTGGTTGCTACCGTAAGATCTAAGCATTGGAAGCTGAATGATGCTAGAGGAATGGGGCTGCATGTTCTTGCAGTATCAAGTGGACTAATGTGATATTATTAAAATGGTGACCAAATAGGCAAAACAGTGTCTGACCATTGGGTTAAATAAATAACTTAGGACATTTCGTGGATTAAACCAAACATTCTAAACAGATCTGAAAGCACCAGACATAAGCACTATTTACTTAAAGAGCCTCTAGATTCCCATTAACTATTTGTATACACAAGTGTAATTTAAAAATCTTGTTTTGTATAACTTGTATTAGCAGTCAGGCCGTCTGAGCTTTAGCTAACCTTCAGTCCATTTGGGTTTTAGATTTTAGAAATGAACCAACGAGGCATGACGTTTCAGACAGCTCATGGGAGGGCGCCCAGGACCTCAGCAGACATCATGAGGAGTCCAGAAAGAATGGGAAAAACCAGGTCAGTGTGTAAAAGTATTTCAGATTTTCAAATGCTGCAACAAGAAATGTTCTCCATGGGTTAATGAAGCAGACTAGTGTGAACCACTGTGTTGTGTTTATTTTAAAAACACAAGTGAGTGTTAGAAAAGTCTGTAAAGCTGAGAGTGTTGGTGCACTCGGGGCGGAGTTGGCATTGTGCCCTCACATTGCCTGCGCATCTCTGCCTTGTAAAAACGTCCACACCTCTCCACAGCATTTGTTGCCTTTCAGAGCTGAATGAGTATTTGCTAGATAGAAGTACAAACTAGTAAATCTTTGATTTCTAACATGGGCATGATTTCTAACACAGTCATGCTAAGGCAACTCTCCGGCCCTCGTTTAAATTGTTTTGAGACTGGACAATTGCTGAATTGTTAGATTGGGCTCAAACTTGAGATTGGGCTCAAACTTGGGATTCTCCTGTCTCAGCCTTCCCGAGTGTGGGATTATGTTGTGCATCACTTGCCTGGCTCTGATGGTCCTTTTTCCTTTCTTCGTAAACTTCAAGTAGCACGTGTCTCTAGTGTCCTACTTTGGCAGCCCTGCAGGGAAAGCAGGGTGACAGTATTCATCCTGAGTTCTGTGCACCATGAAGGCAGAGGTGTGAAAGATGGGCAGGTCTCAGGACCAAGAGAGCCTGGACCCAGCAGCTCTGCTGGGGAGTAGTGGCTTGGAGTCCACACCAGTCACCAGGCCTTGCCCAAAGAGGTGCTGCTCAGCACACCTGTGCTCAGTGGGTCTCTTGGCAGTTCTGCACCTTCACCACGGTTGTTGTCATGTGCCTCCCCCCAACCATCCAGTGTGTTTGTTCTTCACCATCTTCTGGTTGCAGCCTTCCTGTCTTTGATCTGTTATGAAAAAGTCTCAGCGGCTGTTTTGACTGCCTGTTTCCCAGTGTCTCCACTGCTGGGAATGCAGCCCCGTGTGCTGTCCTGTGCAGCTGATGCATGAAGGGTGCTTCATGATTTTCTGTGTCTTGATCTCTTGTAGCTCTCATTTCTGTCTGAGTGTTTTTAAATTGTGTTTTTGTACTTTTCATCTTTCACTTTTTGTTAGTCTATTCTGATGCAAAATATGCATGTCTAGTTTTTAACATCTTTATTATACTTTTCAGCCTATATAATTCTATTTGAATTTATCACTTTGGGTACTTGTAACAAAATTATCAATCTTATGTGAAGCAGTTTAGTTAAAATTTATAATTGTTAAGTTCATTTTCTGGCTTCTATTTGTTTCTGTTTTTATTATCTGTTGTTTCTCTTAGTTTTCAATTGTGTGTTCTGTGCCTATATACCTGGCTATTTTTGGTTTGTCTTCCTGCTAAGCATCAAGATGACTTAAGATTGGGCTTCTGTCTTCATGATGCAAACTGTACCCAGGGAGCATGAGCCTCAGAGGCTGTTTCCCCGCTGAGGGCTCTGCCTGACCTCACTGCTGCAGGCAATGTCCTATGTAGCCGGTGCCTGTTCACCTGCATCTTGTCTCGCCTTTCTAACTGATCACAGTGAGAAGGCTGTTCCAAACTGCCTAGTCTTCCTTCACCAAAAATAATGAGTACATTTTAATGGCCCTTTTTTTTAAAAGAAGATTTTTATAAATAGAATTTTTTCTTTTTGAGACAGAGTCTCACACTGCTGCCCGGCCTGGCCTCTAATTTCTTAGTGATCCTACTGCCTCCGCCTCCTGAACGCTGGGATTAAGGAATGTGCTGCTGCACCCAGCTATAAATAGAATTTTCATGTAGAGCCTTCTGAAAGAATGATGAAAGACCAAGAGGAAGGATTTTTAAAATGAACTTCCTAGTCATAGTTTGCAAAAGACACACTAAACAAATATCAGTTGATTCAGTTTCTTTTAAAGTGCAAAACCAATTGATTCGGTAAAAAATAAGAATCTTGGAGTTGCAATGTCCACTAGAAGGTTTTTGGTTTGGCATTCACTTTTAATGGGAAAAGCCATGTACACATTAGTAGGGAAAGCAGTCTTTTTAAGACTTGCTTTATTTTATATTTTTGATTTTTTGAGACAGTGTCTTACTATGAAGTTCAGGCTGTCTTGAACTCACTGTGTAGCCCAGGCTGCCTCAAACTCTTAGTGATCCTCCTGTCTCAGCCTCCCAAGTGCTGGGATTGCAGGCATGCACTACCGGGCCAATTTTAGATTTATTTTGAACACTTACAAATTTGTTGAGCCTTTCTGATTTTGACAGTAGAGTTAAGCAACTCTAGTACTTCAATCCTCTGAGCTTACAATATGTCTACCTTTTCAGGGGGTGAAATGTAAGACGCAGTGACATCTTGTTGCATGTTGTCAAACAGAGACCAGGTTTAATGCTAGTATTTTGCCAAAAGTACGTGAGTTTTTCTCCAAGGTTTTTTCTTTATTCTACTGCTTCTAGGGTTGTTGTTCCTGTTTAAAAAATTATTACCTTCAGCAAAATTTTTAAACTGAGTCTGGATAGCTTTTCCTAAGTGGCTTTTATAAAAATCTCATTTTGAACCATGTGTGCCAATCCTGACTGTTCTGAGAGAGAGGGCAGGCTGTGGGTCAGAGCACAGCAATGTTTACAGATGGCTTTCATAAGCTTGGAGGCCTGGGGAGGATCGGAGGACCAAGAGCAGTGCACTTATTTTGACAGTAGTTAAAAAAATAAAAAGAACTTCACATTAGCTAGAATGCTTACATACGTAAAAGTTTCTTAAATATGCTAGGAAACAAATGAATAATAGCTCACATGTGTTTTGATAATTGCTTGCTACATTTTTTCTAAAATGTGAACCCTAAGGACATAGCCTATGTCCTGTCTGTTAAAACTCTGCATAATATGGTAGCACACATAGTACTTTCTAAGCAAATATGGGGTGCAATAATCTCCTCTTTAATTTTTGAGTGAAAATGTTTAAATCATTTCTGTTACTCATAACTATTATTCAGTAATGTTTAATCATCATAATGTACTTCTTTTGTTTGTGGATGTTTCTCACCTTAAGAGATGATTGCATCAGTTACGACTGCATCCTCTGGCGGGCATGGTGTGCTCATCTGAAATCTCAGCACTCTGGAAATTTGAGCCCAGTCTGGGCATTTTAGCAGCTTAGCAAGACTCTGTCTCAAAATTAAAAGGAAAGGAAAGAAAGGAAAGGGCTGGGGACGAGGCCTCTGGGAAGGTCCTGGACTCTGGCCCAAGGCTGACTGACCTGCATGGTGTTGAAGGACTGACTCCTGGGCACCGGCCCTTTCTCCACTCTAAGAAGCATGGCTCAGAATGAGTGTTTCACTGCAGTGATAGAGGCAGGAATACTTTATGATGCAGTTTCCCAATTTGCAGTAATTCTAGGGTCTTGGCTGTTTGCCATTAGATAGTGTACTTGGCTGGAAGCATAGACTTTTGAGAGTGGTTTTGCTTTTAAATTTAACTTTCAAGTGACTCATCAAAATGACAGGTGATATTTATTTGTCTTGAAAATTCAGCATGAATATTTTGTTATTAAACATTTAGGAGAATTGTAACACTTCCACAGGATGACACACTTTTAAAATGTCCATGTAAATAATTTTCCATTGTTCATGCCTGCTGTGCACAGTGAGATAGGGCCTGTCTGGAGGGTGAATTCTCTGAGTGCCGGTCACTTCCCAGTTGGGGTGACAGAACCCAAAGGTATGCGTGATTCCTAGCACAGGTGCCCAGTGATCTGCAGCTTCTGTGATAAGATACTGCTGGCAGTGGACTCGGTGTTATGTTCACTGTCACAGATGTGGCCATGAGACCATTTAAAAGCCGGCTGTGTCTTGGTGGCCCAGAGTTGTTTACAGTTCCCACTAGCATGTTATTTTTTATTCTTATTGTGTATAGAGAAAGTGTTTCGATAACAAAGATGAAATGGAATCTCTGAAGCACTCCACCTGTTCTTTAATGTGCTTTCCTCTTCCGCGCTGGATGGCTTTGAAGTACATGTGTGTTGAGGTGCGTGGTTCAGAAGTCCTCATGTTTGCTTCTGCTCAGGCTGGCGGAAGTGAGGGCCAGTTGGTGCAGTTCTCTTGTGCCCTCAGTGGTCATTTTGGGCCCATAAAAAGCTGGAGGCCAGGGTCACCTGATGCTCTTCTGGCTTGGAGGGGCCTTCCAAGTGCTGACCCAGGAGCTGTGTGCAGAGATGTGCTGAACATCTGCCAGGAGGCAAAGGAGAGGGTGCAGGCCCAACTTAAAGGCTCACAGTTGTGAGCATCACAGACTAGCATAGAAGAACCCACTGGGAGGAGTTAGGTAAATGGTAGTAATCCGTGGTAATTGCCTTAGACAGTTGTGAGATATGCAGAAACTGAAGCAAAAATAATAACGTGCTCAATTAGCTGACCTGAATCCTTATGTTTAACAAAATCACCGTAAAGACCCCTTGGGTGTAGAGGGACTGTGGTAGGTACCTGATGTGCAGTCCTGCCTCCCTCAGTGCAATTGCGTAGCTAGCGGCCCTGGCTCGAGTGTCAGTGCCACCCCCTCCCCAGGGCCCTCTGTGTCTCCAGGCGGCTCATCGAAGCTAATCATGGTCATTCTGTTCTCTGATTTGCAAATATGACTCACTTCTGTCCAACACTATGTGAAAGGAAGTCTTCCTGGGAGTTTTCTGGAAATACACTGTGTCACTGCAGATAGCCCTGGGAAGAAATGCTGGACGAATCCTCGGTTCACTGCAGCCAGAGGTCAAAGCCAAAGGAGGGAACAGAAGAGGAAGGAGCGGGAGGCCCGAGGGCAGGAGGGCTGCAAATCTTACAACATGTTTCCACTGACATCAGGGGCCTGTTCTCACTAGGGACCATTGCTTCATGTGTGTGTCTCAGACATGCTGTTGCAGACATAACCAGAAATGCATGGCTGTGTCCGTCTGTCCAGAGGAGCAGACCTCACTTCAAGTGTGTGTGGGAGGGTAGTTTCCCAAGCAGGTTTTAGATTCTTTGGAGAAACACAAATTCTTCCCAGTAGTAAGG